AACATCTCAGCTGGACAATGTGATAACAAAGCTGTTTTTCCAACAGTCTTTTATCCTTACTCTCTGTTTGAGAATTACAAATACAGTGGGGTGGAGGCAAAAAGGAATAATCCAAGTGTCGCGGAGTCTTAACTGTGAATAAAAAAAAAGGGGGGCGGGGGGGAAAGAGACTTCAAAGCAGAAACAGGTTACTAGACCTTGAACCACAGCTGTTAGGAGAACTATCACAAGTCTGTCAAGTAGCAATTAGACTACTTTGCAAGAATATTAGAAGCACGTATCTTCACTTCTGAGAAGTATCTGAAAAGGGGAAATCAGAGAAAACTTCTAGCTTATGGAGTACTCTCTACTGCACTTCAGTTACCTATTTCCTGTTTATTTCCCACTTGAAAAATCACATCCCAGAAACATAATGTAATTTTTAAAAACTTGCATTTATGACCATTCCATTTAAAATGTTTTGTTGAAAAAACACAAAAAACAAATGGAATGCTGTAAACAGATTTAAGTCAGCCACAAAAAACATTCTGACAGATGTTAGCATCTGTGAACATGGATCTTTCACGACAGTCCTTTCCAATCTGGGCTCTTTTCAAATAAGAAGACCTCCAGGGTTTTGTTGTTGTTGTTGTTGTTTATTTCAATATGCTTTATAAAATTTAAGCTAGGTTTTCTGTACCAGAAGGGTGACTTTTCAATACATTAGTCCACCAACTTGGAATGCTAGTTGCAGCACTTGACACTCAACTTTCAGCTGTGCATGCTGCCAGACAGGTTAACCCATTGGCTAGATTTGTACTAAGATAAACAGCAAAGATTATTAGATGAAGAAAAAGAGGAAAAAAGGAAATCCAGCTTTGAAATGAATTAGTTTTACAGGATTACCACTCACCAATAAAACTGTTTTACACAGACTTACGTAGGAACAGACTACTCAAAAACTTGCAACAACTTGCTGGAGCATAATGAATCCCAGCAACTGACTATCGTGCTTCTGGGGGCCTGCTCAGAAAAAGAAAGACTTTCCCCACGCTTCTATTTCTTCCAGCCTCTCAAACAAATCCTCAGCTCTTCTAAATATTTTGCTCCCCAAGGGTCCTACTTGCATGGTAGCCGGCCTTTCCATTTCTCTAAGATCTAGTAAATTGAAAACAAAATAAAGAGCAAATCTGAAAGAACCACTGATGACTAGTGCATAGAGGCAGATCACATTATTTTTTAAAGTAAATGTCTTTGTTTTGTTCTTGGAATAGAAAGTTATAGCAGGCTAGAATGCTAACATTCAGGTAGGAAGTAGGTCAAAACATATGCCAAGAGAAGCGAATGGAAACTTTCTGTAGTCACCCACAAAGATTTTAAAATGTGTATTCACAGCTATAGCTAGCACTGCCTGATATTAGCAGTGGTTAGCTTTTCCTTTTTAATAGACAACACCCTTTTCTGTTCAGCCTCCTCACCCAAATCTTTTGAGTGCTCTGCCCAGTTTAACTGCCTAATAGTCTTAAAAATGCATCTATTTTAGTTTCACCAACTACCACACGACTAGCCCTGGCCTTTAAGGCATAAAACTGACCAGCTCTATTTTTTACTGAACTCACGTGGCCTGCTCAAAACAAACAGATACTGGCAAGAGCAAAATCCAAATTATACACTGCTTTATCCCAGGAACACAAAGTACAAGGCCGACGCAGTGAGTCAGACACCTCAGCGCCAGTGAGCTCCTCAGGTTGACAGGAGTCTCTTTGGGATCCTCATATGTGCAAGCCAGGCCTTTTACAAAAAGAGTCAAAATAATCGTGTTTAGACAAACACGTGTTGTGTCATTAGCAAAAGTATCTCTCTCATCAGAGGGGAAAAGGCAGCAAAAAGTATGCCAGGAATGCTGGAAATGGGCAGACAGTCACGGCAAGTCATATTTTCTTTTTTTTTTCCCCCATGGAACTCCTTCAGCATGAAAAGTCCATTTGCAAGAGCAGTTAATTATGGGGGGGAAAGGCAAATGATTCGACAGTAATGCAGGGAACGTGGGACCAATATATGTACAACAGAAGCCAGAGAACTTCTCAGTCTCTGTAATAATTTCTCAGCGTCCTCAGAAAATGCTTTAGATACTTCAGCTAACCAGACTTAAACCCATCAGACGTACCCATTTGTTTATCAGTATAAGGCTGTATTCTACATACGTGTATTTATGAACAATAAAAGCTAGACGCATATAGGCATTACTGTAATTTCTATGCTTAGTAATTTCTACGTTAGTTTTAACCAAGTAAATGAATCCATTTCCTTACAATGAAAATTGAGGCTTCTCCCACAATTTGCCAGTCTCTTTCTAGAAACTGGATGCCTTAAACAAAATGCATCACTTCTCCCTGCTCTGCATTTAATTTCATGCCTCTTTCCAGCTTACTGTGTTTTTTGTGCTTCCCTATGGCAACAACATCTAGGGTATTGTGGAGTGCTACAAAAGAAGATATACAATAAGCCAGCCTAAAATACAAATCAATTAACTATTCACCTACCTTGATATCTAATTAGAAACTTTTGTTTACGAAACAGTGAATTATCTAACTCATCTTGCCACATAAAATACAAACTTTGCTTTCATGGCAGTTTTACTTCACAAAAAGTAAAAAAGAAAAAAAGAGGGTTTTTTAATTACAAAAGATTAAGCCATCAGTTGGTTCAAAGGACTGCCAGAGGGCGTTGGACTCTTTTGCTCACTATCAGGTGACAGACACAGACATTTTTGATAGAGGAGAGAAGTCGCATGTGGATGCCTATCAGCCATGGAAACAGCAGCTGATAAAGGAGTATGAGGTGTTTTCCATTCCTCAGTCTTCAAAAGAAGCGTTCGTTCTCGTCTTTGCAAAAGAGAAAGTGGGTTGATTTTTCTCTTCAGGATCCAAAAGACAGTCTGATAGCTATGAACGACAACAACCAAGCTCTTCTCTAAGCTAGGACATTGATAAAACTTGAGGAACATCCTAGAGGCCAGTTTTACAACTGCACATGAGAATACCCAGCTACAGCATGTACTCAGAAGCACCGGACTCTCATTTTTAATTTTATTTCTATTTCAAGTTTGACATAAGAAGTGCAATCTGAGATTTCTGTTTTCTTTCACCCCATTCCTGTGAAGGGTGTGGGCTCAGGCAGGTTAACTACCTCAAATTGTGTGACTACAAATTAAGTATACTTTTGGTTAAAAGTTGGAAAGGAAGTATCGAGACTGTATTATCATTTGAACTCTGCTAGAATTGATGCTGTTAAAAATCAGCTTGAATAATAACTGTCAGCTGCCCTGACTTTTGAACAAATGTAGCCCTCTGGAAGAAAATCTATGCGGAGGAATACTGTCCTCAAAATCACATATTGACGTGGGGCTGGTAAAGTGCTTTTCCTCTCACTTAAAAAAAAAAAAATATTATAGCAAGAATTAATTAAATATAAAGCAAGGAGTTCACACAACAATACATACTGATTACTTTTTTAAAAAATAACTCAAGTTAGGGTCAATGTAACTATTATATGCAAAGGAGCTTTCAAAAAATATTGGGGACAAGGCTGTGGATAATTACTTTTCTGTGGGTGGTAACCATGATTGCATTTTAAGAAAGACCAATCTTCCTAAATTCCCCCTGGAGGCATTTTATTGATCGAAATGAGTGCTGTAAATTATCCAGTGGCTTACAAGGTAGCAAGAATTGGGAGAATTCCAGTATTTCAAAAGCTCAGGAAGAAGGACCTGTGAGCACGCTACTACCCACCAGCAGGGTGGCTTAGAGGAACTCAAATTCTTCAAACCTTTGAAAAATCCCTTCAAAGCATGTTGCAAATTACATCTGGAGAGTTCTCAATGGGACCTTTTAAACTAATTGCACATCTCCATTCAGGTCCTAAACTCTGCAGGAAGGTAGCTCTCCTAATGTCCTGAAAGGCTGAACTTAGAAGCGTTATGTAAGCTCTACCACTGCAACTCACTTTAATAAGCTCCCTGAGTGAAAACAAAATCGAATATATCTTACCTTTTAAAATTTTAAGCCAGCATGAACCAAAAGTTAGTGCAAAACCAAAGGAAGGAAATTCAGTAACAGACACACAACCCAGAGTTGCCGAGAAAGACTTTGAAATCAGTCTTTGGTCTCAAACCTTGAGGATCATAAAAGGAGAAGGAAAGGGTTCAACAGTTCAGCACTGGTCAGAAGGGAAAACTGTGTCTGGCATACATTTTGAACTTAAGAAAACAAGGTCCCATTCTTGATTTCCTACACCGAAAACAGACCAGTGTTAGGATGCAATGACGAAAACAGAAGAGGCTAAAACCATTGGTCTAAAGCTGTATGCTCCATGGGTTTTGTGTATAAGATTTCTGCATTGGTGTTAATGTTTTGACACCAGATCACTTTTTACTACAGAGGAGCTGAACTGCTGTGACCTCCAGATTTCCAGAAGTAACAGGAGCTCTTTCCAGTGGCTTCAAAATGGAAGTCTGCACGTGTACACCTATGTTTCTCTGATGGCATCTGTGCAAAATCCCCATTTTAGAAAAGCCTTTCATTTCTCCATTTTTCTATGTATTTTTCTTTTGTTTTAAAAGACCGCTCCAGGAGCATAACTTACTAGCAGAGAATACTGGAGACTGAAATAGGTAAATGGGAAGTAACAGTTATTCTGTGAAACTCAAGGAACAGTATAAGATGTCAATGATCATCACTGGTTTTAAATTAACTTCCCATTAATTCATTTTCAATCTTCCTGTCATCTGTTGGTGACATAAACTATAGACGGATCCTTCCCTCCTCTGGGCAGGACTACTTCTGTGTCACACTATACCTATCATAAAACCACACCACTTCCACCAAGAGCGTTGCGTCTTGCTGAGCGTGCTTATTCCCTGCAAGCTCATGACTAAAGATGGCATTTCCAAACTCCCTCCTCTTCCGTTTCTCATATATCACAGCCTCAACAGGAAAATTTCCATGCATCTTACTACTCACCTAACATTTGGTGGATCTGAATTTATGATGGGTGTTGCACAAAGAGGCTTGTTTCCTTGAACGTGGCTTCCGTAACCTTCTCTTGCAGGCAAACAGTACACCCTTTGGATAACGACTCGTACTTGTGCTTCTCTCCAGCCCACTGCTCCCTGGCTTTCCACCATTTCAAGCAGAGAATCATTAACAGCACTCTGTGCTAAGGGATGCTGTTTCAAATCACAGTTGTTACGGATGTGTGGAGCACAAGCAACCTGGTGAAGGAAAACACATGAATAGAAGCATTTCACGGGACCTTGGAACAATGTAGTGCTAAAGAGTAAAACTTCAGCATGAAAAATCACTGCAAGAAGTGCAAAATCAGTTTCAAAATAGTTACTGCACCTAAACTAACTTACAAATGGCCAGTATTTATTGCAGATTTTTAATGACCACTGAAGAGAGTTGAGCACAGAGTGCTCTCCTGTATTTAACTGGTGCTCTGGACTGAGCTAACTCCCTCCGTGAGAGATGAGGGTGACATCAGCCGGAAAACAGAACTGATATTAGTATTTATGATTCTTCCCCTTGAATTGAGTGCCATTTTTACTACTTTGATGTTCTTTCCTTCGTCTTCTAAAAAAGGGGTAAAATACATCTTGAATGCTTTTGGACTTTCAGATTAAGTTAAAATGAACAGGTGTCTAGTTTTATAGAACAGTAAGTTAGTCCTCAGACTTACACAGTTCAATGTAAAAGAATTAGATCAATAATGAAAAGTATAAAACTTTAAAAGTAAAAACCTTAGTCTATTCTTTCACCACTTCCCAAACATACTTTATGAATAACATCTTCCAAACTTTCAAAATAAATTTTATGAAAACAATTGTGCTACATTTTGCCTTCATCTAAATGAGTAATTAATTTTAATTTTAAAATATGTATCTTTCAGTAAAAATTGTATGCAAGTATAGACTAACATGGTCTATATATATAGGCTCCTTCCCAGCACAAGCCAAATTTCTATTTTTACAATGAAACCTTTTTTTATAAAATGCTGGGTGCCAAGAAAGGTTTTCAGAGTATTACAGACTGTGCTGTAAGTATTATGCACCAGCAGAGAAGGAGAATTTGCAGTATTTAAAAGAAAATTGTGGTTCAACACTACCCCTTGTCTACAAAGCGGTTGCAGGAAAACTTGTCTACTGAGTTTTAAATGAAGTGGTTTTGTTTGTTAGGAACCACGAGGGGAACAAGTAAATTGTTCTGGTTTTCGAATACCACAGTAGAAGCTTTTTACAAGGTAGAGCTGAAGCAAGAAAGGAGATTAGGATTTGATTTATGTAACTTTTTCATTCCCAGGCCTATAATGGGAATTATATATACAGCAAATACAAAATCTTGACACTCGGTGTTGTTCATCAAGCTTGTAGGGCCAAAATTCTCGAATATTAAGTGTTAAGAATGACTTTGTGTGGCCAATATAAAGCCTTTGCAAGAGCCTTACTTTCAGAAACTGCTGGCACACACTATCAGACAAGCAGATCCCTTAAAATACCTCAGCTTGTACAATCACAGCCAGAGACATGCAGTCAGTAGTCACTTTAATATAAACAAAGTCAAAATAGGAAAGCAAACTGAAGGGGCGGGAAAGGGGGGGTGGTGTTACCAACTGATGCTTTAAAGAAAGGAGGGGATCGATTTAAGAAACAGGAGCGGGGAAAGGAAATGTTTATTTCAAATATCTTGAGTGAGTTAGCAGCAAACAGATTTTATTTCAAATAAAGCTTAGCTATTCAGCTATAAAGAATAAGAGAAAAATTGGTGAAAAACCAAGCTATAATTACTACTTAGCACAGTAGTGAGACTTCAGCAAAATAACCTCACAGCAGTTCAGCATCTGGATGGGCCAAAAGCCTCCGCTAAGAAAATATTATTAAAATAAACACTGCATATTATTCAGCCCTGGCTAAATGAAAGGGGAAACTGAACAGGTCAGTAATTTAGAATTTTTGTTTTTGTTATGATTTCCAAACATCTGCTCACCAACTTGTTACCAAGTGCTAAACCAAACGGAACTTACCTGATTATCTGAAGGTTCCTGGTGTAACTCATCATCGAGGTCATCTAGTCTGAATGTCTGTGCCAAAGATATAATATTTTTCCTAATAAGCATCTTCGTAAGACCGTATGTCTTCTCTCTTGTTTCTGAATGTTCACCAAGTAGCACCTTCTGACTAAAATGTGTATTCATGATAACAGGAACATCTGCATTTTTGAGAAGCAGTTTTTGCCTAGAAAAAAAATAATTTAAGTGGCATCAAATCCATTACAAGTTAAACTACCAATAAGCACTATTTTAAAACATGTGTTGTATTGTATTTCTCTCCCCTTTTTTCTATAGTTACCACTGAAACACTCAAAGGTGTGTTACCCAAATTGCAAATAAACCACCCCATCGATACCTTCAGCTTGGAACAGCCCTATTAGCTCAGGCATAGCCCTGGGCGAGTGGAGCTCCACTGTATCCAGGGGACAACTTACACCTGGAAGCCGGCTGAGCTGACAAGCCCCATGAACCCCTTTGGGCTTCACACAAATGCTACTTGGTGCCTCTGTGTTGTCAGCGCAGCACCAGGAGCACCTGGAAGCCCTGCACACACGTGCTGAGATAAAAGCCATGAACAAAAGATTATTAATCCTGCTCTGTGTGATGGACCCAGCCTGGCCCCTGCAGACCAGGACATCCCTCTCTGGTGAGTGCTTCCCACCGACCCAAATTCATTCTCACTGTAGCCAGCAGCAAGCTGTTCCTTCCACTCTTTCGCCTCTCTTTCTCTAAAAGCAGTATCTTACGCTTTTCCTATGATATGCCGCACATTATTTTGCCTGTGTGTTTGCTGCTGTCATAAACGTGCTCTCCAAGACCCAGTTTTGGTTTCTAGTGACAATGTAAATGCCCAAACAGCTTCCCATGCAGCAATTTCTACCCTAGCAGATTAAGGTAATGGTTGCAGAATCTCTAAACACACAATCATTTAATGCCAAAGCATGTCTCAGTGTTGGGACTTTTTCATACACTAGTATCACAGTCATACATTCAGAAACATGCTTTTTATACTCACAGGATACAAATCTAATGAAGGCAGCTAACAAAACCCATCAGGAATCTCATTTTCTAGACACCCATCAAAACAGAAACAAAATTCACTTAGTGACTTTATTGCAGGCTGTGTTTTTTCTACTATTAGATTTGTATCGCTTGGGAGAAAACAAAGCCTCCTGCCCTGGCAGCAAAGCTGAGCTGCCCTGAGTTCAGAAGGAACTTCAGGACCTCAGTTTCCAGACTGCTCAACAGTCACATTATGGAGATGAAGCAAGTTTTCACAGCTACGGCGTTATTTCTCAAAATGCAACCATACAGAGTTAAAAAAATGAACCAAATTGAAACAAACCCCACTCTAAAAATGCTTATTTCTGATCTCAGTTCATAATACTTATTTCTGATCTCGGTCCATACAAGATCTTCACTATGGTCTGTTTTATAACAGATTCCTTCATTCTCTACACAGTGGATAGCTAAATGGAGATGAATGCATGTGTATTTTCAAAAGAATAGGAAGAGTTGCAGCAAGTTATTAAATATAATCCCAAGGTTTTTTATAACTAGGAAAATAATGCAACAGGGAGATGATCTCTGCCTTTTAGACAAAAGCACACATTTAAAACTAAGCCTGCAACTTAAAACTCTGAATCGTACACACAAATTATAAAAAAGACGTATTGCTTCTATCTGTGAACACTCACGGAAGTTATGATTTGGAATGGAAAATTCGTGAAACGTTACAGCAGAAAACCAAGTACTGAACTTCACCCCGACGCCTTACTGCCATCTGTAAACTCTTCAACTCTAAGCGAGCAGCAGGTCACCCCCGAGGGACACTCGGTCCCTCGACTCCAGGTGAATTTGCTCACAAGGGTCCCAGTTAAGAAGAGCATGACAGTAGCTCACAAGGCTGCCAAACAGACGTTGCCTGATCATCTTCTGCATTACAGGATTAAAACTGAGGAGTTAGCTGGGTCGGCAGACCAAGACATCTCTGATTTCATAGGATTTTTAAACTGCCTCTACCCCCTTTTTTCCGAAGAACAAAAATGTATATAAAGTTTGCTACAGATCTCAGAGCAGTTTGGGCTGTTTTTATATGCAGATGTGGAATGAAAATTTTAGCACCTACTTTCTTGAGACGTCTGTGTTCAGACCCAAAGTAAACAGGAAATCTCTCTGAACACGAGACTGTTACGTCACTAATGTCAGAAGAATGTTTGCTTGATCTAAATAATCTCATTCTCTAAAAAAATACTGACGTTAGTAGCAAATCATTCGCAGGAACTCTGAGGTTTATGGTTTTATTTTTATTTTCCTGTGCAGATATGTGATCAGTTTGTTTTTTGGTTTTTTTTTTTTTAAGGCAGGTAGCTTTTACTGATACCCAAATTACGTGTACCATGGTTTTGCTATGCCTGTGTATGCATTCCATGCCTTGAGTACTTTTTTAACCACCAAGAGCTTTCTTGGCTCAGTTTTCACCATACCTTTACATGGGTAGTGCGGAAATGAATGGCTACTTGGCATTTCCACAAAGCAAAAAAGGGACAGGCGTACACTTTCAGGAGAAGCCCCCTCATTTCTTACCTCCAATTAGTTCACTAAAACCACTTTCCTTAACGAATCATTTATCTGAGACCTGCATAGGTGTCCACAGACTTAGCAGTAACTCCTCAGCTAGGTCAGAGGAATAATCACAGCAGCCTACTTGAATCTTCCCTATTTCTCAATGGATGGATTCCTCCCAATAGGAATAAAAAGGACCATAGAAATAATAACCAACTGAAATGAAAGAAATAAGAAAAAAGTTCGTAATAAGCTCACTATTTTGTGTACAGGTGGATGGCTAAATGGAAATATTTTATGTTTTTATATAATATGAATATATAATATATAAAATAATGTATATTTTCTCTATATAATAAATATATGTTATGCCCAGTCTTTTTATATACATATTCTTCAATATGAAGAATGGAATTATTAATATAATATTAATTAATTGAATGAAAATTCTGTCCTTTTCCAGAAATTCTTCCTAGTATGCTCAGCTCAGACAAGCTCTGCAGGATGGGAGTTTTGATCATCATCATGGCAGAAAACTGCATTGCCATTGCATATTGCTCATACTGTTCTCTCTGCAGCAAAGGCAACCACGTTAGAAACACGCATGTGCCTTAATTCTTTTTGTCTGCTTGAAAGATACAGATTAGGGCAAAGAAAGTCTACCAAGCTGGAACAGTTGGGGGGAAAAAAAAATCATTTCCCCAAGCAATCTCAGCCTTCTGTACCTGTTCCAGCTGCAGATTCTTCACAGCCAGAAGCAATCCTACTCTGTAGGATAGAGAGTACACTCTGCAGCATCTTCTTAACAGATGAAGTGTTACATGGGCATTTCAAGTCTTCTGTGACCTCTCTTAAATTTTTTTTCTATCTGCTACATTATATTTAAAAGCTTGTTTTCAAAGAATGAGAGACATCATCTCATTCAGCAAATCACACAGAGACAATGGAAAGAAAATAAAGTTCACTGTAGACGTAAAAAAAACCAACCACCCTCTCTTGTACTCTCTGATTTCTTCTCGCTCAGCAAAGTATATTTAAATGTTGGATTAGTAGTTGACTTCCCTACTAACTGCCTTTAGAGGAAAGATCATTTGTAATGACCTGAAGTAGAGACTGTGAACTTTTTATACTACAGGGCATTTTTTTTCCTGGTATGTAGACAATCAGCAATTGCCGTAACTGGTCACATGCTAAAGGAAGATGAGGCAATAATGTTATTTTTTTTTTCTTTTCCAGCAGCAGCTTGCTTCTCTCTCCAAGGACATAGCTTGCTTTTTCTCTTCCTCCCTCCTGTGATGAAATGGCTATCTGGCAGAATAGAAGCAGGAGATGTCCTTGCCTACTTCTCTGTTAATTGGGGTCTATCACCATTCGAGATACAAAACACTGCAGAAACTTACAGCATGGCATGGTATAAAGTAGCTGAAAGTTTCAACTTGAGGCAGGGTCTTAATCCTGCTGCTGAATAGCTGGCAGGTTTGCACTGCGGTCTGCCCCGCGCAGCCCATCCACGGGCTCAGCCAGCGAGAAGTTGTGACTCCATGGCAGCAGCTAGCTCGCAAACCACATGCTTCCGCTCAGTTCTGCTGACATCAAACGGCGGTGCTGGTTCATGAACTCAAGATGACTCTGGATGGCTTTAAATTAGAGAACATACTTTTTTGCTTGCTCTCCCTGGGTATTTTATTGGGCTTTTTTCTCTTTTCTTTTACAAAGTGTAAAATGCCTAGAGCATTTTTTGAAGAGTACATTGCATTAACAGAACACTCTTAACATTTCAATGACCTACAACATGCATGGTAATTATGAAACAGGCTAATTTCAAGTCTCAGAACAATGATTTCTGCGTAAAGAAGATTTAACACCCACCAAGTGGAACAGCAGTAGAACATGCAGGGTAAGAGCATGCCAGAGCCTTATGCTGTCACCCAGAAGCACGAGGAGTCATCCCCCATAGGAACACCATACAGGACCCATCCCTAACTTCCTCGGAATTGCTTATTTTGTTCAATATGGAGCGAGTCGCTCATGCTGCCTCTCGCTTGGGGTTGAGTGCCATTTGCAGTGTTTTACCTGTGAACAGTTGTTAATGTGTCCAAGAAATGCCTGAACACCACAATAATGATAATAATTAAAAAAAGCCAAAACCAAAACCAACCTAATTTCCCAAGCACCAGCAGATCTTTGCCCATGTACCACCCAAGGACAATAACCATCTTCCTGATATGTCTCCCAAATCGAAAGGCCATTTGGAACAGATCTACCTTCTGCCATGCCTAGAGATTGCCCAAACACAGAATTTTCATCCACGAGTGAGTAATCTCACCACTCACACGTGAGCCTCCATCAGCGTCATTTACCATCGCTTGAATGATCCGCATGAATACCGTGCCTGCGAGCTTACACTTTCATAACACAAAATTTCTTCCCCTGCCCCAATCTCAAAGACAGAAAACAAAAATCAGATGGTATCTCTTGCTTTGAAATTATCTTATTCAAAGCAACAGACTCCTGTAGGACAAGTTCTCAAGGCTGATAGTACTCTTTTCTCCATGAAAAACAGTATTAACCATCTAGACCAATGTCCAGAGTCATACATGTCAAATATACAATTCTCAG